CAGCGCCGACCCTCCGACAGTGCGGCGCTCCCTCAGCGCCGACCCTCCGACAGTGCGGCGCTCCCTCAGCGCCGACCCTCTGACAGTGCCCACTCCCTCAGCGCCGACCCTCTGACAGTGCCCACTCCCTCAGCGCCGACCCTCTGACAGTGCCCACTCCCTCAGCGCCGACCCTCCGACAGTGCGGCGCTCCCTCAGCGCCGACCCTCCGACAGTGCGGCGCTCCCTCAGCACCGACCCTCCGACAGTGCGGCACTCCCTCAGCACTGACCCTCCAACAGTGCGCACTCCCTCAGTAGACCCTCCGACAGTGCCACACTCCCTCAGCACTGACCCTCCGACAGTGCCCGCTCCTTCAGTCCTACTCTGCAATGTCAGTGGTTTTCTGTGGCCAAATGCTCAGATGATGGCATACCACGACTGGCATCAGTTATTATTGGTCCTCCCTTGTCATTTCTATTCTCCTCTTTATTCCCTGCCTCCTGGAGGTCAGTGCTGGGATCATATCTGCTGTGTGATTATAAACTGGATTTTTGATGCCTTTCCACGGCCTCATTCGTCACCAGGTCCTTTTGAAAGACTTTCATTCAGACGATGTGGGCATTGGTGGCTGGGCTTGCATTTATTGCCTGGCCCTAGTTGCCCTTAGAATGTGGTAGTGAGCTGCCTTCTTGAACCACTGTGGTCCATTTGTTGTGAGTTGACTCACAATGCCCTTAGGGAGGGATTTCCAGGATTCTGACCCAGTGACACTGAAGGAATGGCGAAATATTTCCAAGTCAGGATGGTGAGGGGCTTAAAGGGGAACTTGCAGATGGCGGTGTTCCCATGTATCTGCTGCCCTTGTCTTTCTAAATGGATTTGGTTGTGGGTTTGGAAGGTGCTGTCTGAGGATGTTTGGTAATTTCTGCATTGCATCTTGTACACAGTACACACTGTTCTACTGAGCATCAGTGGTGGAGGGCGTGGATGCTTGTGGATGTAGTGCCAATCAAGCGGGCTGCTTTGCCCTGGACAGTGTCAAGCTTCTTGAGTGTTGTTGGGGCTGCACCCATCCAGGCAAGTGGGGAGTATTCCATCACACTCCTGACTTGTGCCTTGTAGATGGTGGACAGGATTTGGGGAGTCAGGAGGTGAGTTCCTCTTTGCATTATTCCTAGTCTCTGACCTGCTTTTGTAGCCACAGAATTTGCACGTTGAGACCAATTCAGTTTCAAGTCAATGGTAACCCCCAGGATGTTGACAGTGGGGGATTCAGTGATGGTAACGCCATTGAATGTCAAGGGGCAGTGGTTAGATTCTCTCTTGTTGGAAGTGGTCATTGTCTGTCATTTGTGTGGGACGAATGTTACTTTTTGTATTAAACCAGTTTGCTGTTCTGTACATAAAGTCTCAGACATTCAGCCCCAATTTATGAGGTTGGTGTGTAGGAATAGAATAAGGCCATTGAACTCATTGAATAACCTCAAGTGGTGCACTGAGTTTCAGCTGTTCTGATTCTGCCCCCTTTCCCATCCCAGGTGCTAGCCTGAAGGGAATAGACTCACATTCTTGGGTCGAATGGAAACTCTCTCACCATCCAGATTCATTCCTGGGATAATCACTGTCATCTTCCGTGGTCCTTTAAATCCAAGAATGTTTGTTTCCTGTGACGAGAGTGAGGAGAATAAGAAAATGCATGTCATGCTGACATTCCTCTCTCCCAAATCTCTCTCCAATTGTCTCTGGGAATAAGATCTGCCTTGTTTTCAATCTCCAACCAGTTTCCCATTCTCTACCTAAACCCAGAGGCATTTAACCCCAAGTACATGAGTTGGGAGAATGGCATACAGATATAGCAAAGGGCCATTCAACTCATCGAATAACTTCCAGTGGTTCTGTCTCCATTAACCACAACATTCCCAATCACCTTTCTGAAGATGTCCCTCCATGGCCCATCAGATAAAACCATCACAGCCTGGCTCTTCCCTCAGCTTCACTTCCACAAAAGCCAAAGGTCACACAATACTCAAAGGTCACACAGGCCACACAATTCCACATTCTTGTGGACGCATGTTGACATCAAGAGCTGGGATTCAGTCCAAACTTTAAGTCACATGATTCTGGGTTCAAATCACACTCAAGAGCTCGGCTACAGAAACTAAGGCGGGACAGTTCAGTTCTTTACTGAGGGAGTGCTACACTGTCAAAGGAACTGTCTTTCAAATAAATTGTGGCCTTGTCACAGAATCACAAAACTATATCGGTGCAGGAGGCCATTTGGCCCACTCTTCAAAGTGTCCCCCCACAGATAGATGTAAAAGACTAGGTGTCATTGTTTCAAAGGTGAATGGGGAGAGATTTCCCGAGTATCATGGGTCACTATTTATCACAGAAATAGACTATCTGATCATTAACTCATTGCTGCTTGTGGGTGCTCTCTGTGGGTACATTAGCTGCTGTATTTCTCATGGTATAACAGTGACTACACTGCAAAAGGATTGAACTGTAAAGTTCTTGGTATTTCAGGTGGCCTATCTTATTTAAGAAAACAAAAAAAACAAAAGAATTGCAGATGCTGGAAATCGGAAACAAAAACAGAAATTAGTGGAGAAACTCAGCAGGTCTGGCAGCATCTGTGAAGAGAAAGCAGAGTTAATGTTTCGGGTCCAATGACTCTTCTTCCGAACTGATTTAAGAAAGGAAAAAAATTGGTATACGTGCTGAAGATGGGTTAGGGAGGAGAAGGAGTAAATGATGGAGTAAATGGGAGGCAATGGCCTAGTGGTATTATCTCTGGATTGTTAACGTTCTGGGTTCAAATCCCACCACAGCAAATGGTGGAATTTGAATTCAATAGAAAAAAGTCTGGAATTAAGAACCTAGTGATAACCATGAATCCATTATCAATTGTCAGGAAAAATCCATCTGGTTCACTAATGCCCTTTAGGGAAAGAAACTGCCATCCTTACCTGGTCTGGCCTACATGTGACTCCAGACCCACAGCAATGTGGTTGACACTCAACTGCCCTCTGGGCAATTAGGGATGGGCAATAAATACTGCCTAAAAGCAATGCCCACATCCTGTGAATGAATAAAGACAGGTGGAGACAAACCCCAGGGAGAGAGAATAAACAGTTGGACAGACAAAGAAGTGGGTAAATGAATTAGCTGCTAATAGGGGCCATGAGTAGCTGACAATGGGTTATTTGTGATGACAAGGTCTGCTGTGTGGGATATGGAGTAAGGACATGGTAGAAGTTGCTCAGGCCCTAAAATTACTGAAGTTGATATTAAGTCCAGATGGCTGTGAAGTTCCCAAGCATAAAATGAAATGCTGTTCTTTCAGCTTGCGTTGAGCTTCACTGGAGCACTGCAGCAATCCTGAGATACAGATATTTGCCAGGGAACACGCTGCTGTGCTGAAGTGGCAGACAATTGGAAGCTCAAGATCTTTTTTACGGATAGAATGTAGATGTTATGCAAAGCAGTCACCCAGGCTGTACATTTCTCCAATGTAGAGGAGACAACATTGTGAACAATGAATACAGTAGACTGTATTCAGTGAAGTGTAGGGAGGGAAGGAGAATATGTGTCTGGTGATGGCATCTCACTGGAGGTGGTAGAAATGATTCTGCAGATGTGGATGCTGGTGGGATAGTGGAGAGGACAAGGGGAACCCTATTGCTGATGTGAGAGAGAATAGAGGGGGTGAGGGGGTCAGATACACCCAAGACCTGTCAGCCCTGTCAACCACAGTGCTGAGGAGTCCTTGGTTCAGGAAGAAAGTGGATATTTCAGAGGCCCCCTTATCAAAGTTGGCATCATCAGAGCATGCAACAGAAATGGACGATCAGGGAGAATAGAATAGAGTCTTTACAGGAAGCAGCATGCGAGGATGTATCGTCCTGGTAATGGTAGGAATTGGTGAGTTTGTAGTGGATAGGCCAGCCTATCTCCCAAAATGGAAACAAAGATGTTGAGGAAGGGCAGGGAGGAGTCAGAGATGAACCAGGTGAAGGTGAGAATGGAATGGAAACTGGAAGCGAAATTGACGAACTTTTCCAATTCTGAATGAGAGAGGGAAACAGCACTAATGATGTCATTGATATACTGGAGAAAGAGTTGTGGGTGGGGGCCAGAATAGAACTGGAACAAGGAATATTCCACATACCCCACAAAGAGACAGTCATAATTGAGGCAGGTACCCATGGCCAACCTGAAGAAAATGAGAGGAGTTAGAAATTGTTCAGAGTAAGGATGAGCTCAGTCAGATGGAGGAGGGTGATGGATGGAAACGGTTCAGGTCTTTGTTCCAGGAAGAAGTGGAGAGCTCCGAGACCATCCTGATGGGGGATGGAGGTACAATCCCTTTACACATAGTAAAGAGGAGGCGGCTGGAGCATGCAAACTGGAAATTCTGAAACTGATGTGAAGCATCAGAGGAATTATGGATGTAAGTGGGAAGGGACTGGACAAGGCAAGAAAAAAATCAAGTCAAAGTAGGAAGAGATGAGTTCCACAGGGTAGGAGCAGGGACAGGCAGTATCAATGGGTCTGTCCGGGGCAGTTGTGTTTGTGGATTTTGGGGAGAAGGCACAAGTGGCCTGTGCAAGCTTGGGAAATGATGAGCTTGGAGGCATTTGGGGGGTGGCGTGTAGATCATCAGATGAAATGAGGTTGGTGACATTATGGACATAATGACCTAATGTTGTATGGTGGGGTCATGGTCCAGAGGGAGATATGAGGAACTATCTGAGAGTTGATGCTCAGTCCTTGCAATGTAGAGGTCGGTCTGCCAGACAGCAACAGCACCACCCTTCCCAGCAGGCTTTACTATAAAGTCAGGGTTGGATCTGGGACCACAGGGTGCAGTCAGTTCAGAGGGAGATAGGTTGGAATGGGTAAGGGGCAGAGAAATTGAGGTGAATAATCTCACATCGAGTGTGGCAAAAGGAGGGGCTCCAGGTGGAGGGAGTGTTAGACGTGGGTGAAGATGTCTCTGGTGCAGGGAGAGGACTCTTGTCCAAAGAAAAGTGCATGGCAGCAAAGACAACAGAAGAGTTCAATATCAGGTTGTGCCTGAAATTCATTGAGGTGAGGCACAGAGATATAAAACTTGAGACTTTTGCGGAGTACATCTCCCACACTTTGCCCTTCACTCCTTCCCTTCCTTCCCACAACAGTGATAGGGTGCCCTTGTCCTCACCCACTATCCCAACAGCATCCACATCCATCGGATCATTAGCTGCCACTTCTGCCACGTCCAGTGGGATGCCACCATCAGACACACATTCTCCTCCCCTCCTTTGTCAGCCTTCCACAGGGACCGTTCCCTCTGGGACACCCTGGTCCACTCTTCCTTCACTCTCAACACCCCCCCCCCCCCACCCCCGCCACCACAGCCTCAAGGCACCTTCCCCTGCAATCGGACCCAAAACATGAACTCTGCTTTCTCTCCGCAGATGCTGCCAGACCCACTGAGTTTTTCCAGCAATTTCTGTATTTTTTTGTTTATTTATGTTTTCTTTAGCTGAGTCCAGATGATTTGGACATTATTGAGAAGTGCAGGTCTCCCAACATTGACCCTGCAGACACCACGGTTTACCTTCTCAAAATCCAAACTATCGATTGTCACTGCACCTTATTTTCATTATGCAGTTGCCAGGTGCCATGTACATCATGTCCACTAAACATCCTTCAAATCACTGCACCTTCATTTCAAAGACACATAACTTTATAAATCTGCACTGTGTAAAACTCCCAGAGTATGAACCTGCTTTTGTCAAATAGTGTCTGGAAGCCTCTGAAAACCTAATATCAGAGTGAGTGAGCACTGTATTCACCTACGTTATGAACAGGATATTACACTGACAGCTCTCCAATCACAGACACAATTTCTATGTGGAACAATGGTGCAATGCTTATATTCTGTTGCTCAGCTCATTCCTCCCAGTCTTTGAGACGTTAGAACCAATCATAATGAAATACTTACATAACATACAGCTACTATCTCTTCCCGAAGCATCATATTTTCTGGCACCATTGGTGTCTTCTCTGGATTGACTCCATTATCAAACACAGTGAACTTAGTGCCAAAGACATTAGACCTGCCAATGAGCAACATGAGAATGTTATATTCGATAATAGGAAGGGACTGCTCTGTTTGGGACTATGGTGCAATCTGTAAGATTTAAGGAGATACGTTCCAGCAGTTTTGGTTGGTACATTGTAATATACAATGAGGAAATATTTTGATCTGGTAATTATCAAACAAAAAAAATGCATATTATCCAAATGCTGATGAGTTGCAGGGTTCTGAGATGCAGAGGGATCTTGGTGTCATGGTGCATGAATTCCAGAACATTGGTCCTTTGGTGCATCAGGTAATCAGGAAAACTAAATGGATGTTGTACATTGCTGTGGGGAGCAGTTGAATGCAACACTAGGGAGGCTATTCTTCAGTTATGCGGAACGCTGGTGAGACCACATCTGGAGTATTGTGCACTGTACTGTCACTGTACTTACTGAAGGATGTTAAATGCATTGGAAGCAGTTTGGAGAAGGTTTACCAGATTAATTCAAATCCCAGGAACAGGCTACAGACTGTGGGTACAGGCTACTGACCCCAGGCACAGGCTACAGACTGGGAAAGCAGTAGTAGAAAGGGCAGAAGGGACTAAGAGTTCTCAGACTGAGTTCAGGAATGTTTTGTGCAGCAGGATATTTCCAGTCCAGTGAGAAAGGAGGTGCTGCCACATCTGGTTTTCACAGGATAAACAGCAGCTGAACAATGGACTATTTTCAAAGAATAGAGGGTTCAGGAACAGTTGAGGTATATTCCCTCAAAATGGAAATGAAATGTTACAAAGGGGGAGGTCGACTCGTCCCTGATAATTAAAACTGAAATACCCAGAGAAGCTCGCCTCACCTCGTAATCCGTTAAAGGAAGTGTGAAAAGTGGTATAATCTGCCTCTTAGCCCCAGTCTGTTATAAAGGAGTGGTGAAATGAAAGAAATCTCTGATATTCATTTTACAAGCAACAAGTAACAATTTATTTATCTAACAGTGAACAAATTAACAGAACCACTAACAAACTAAACAATTCCCCCCTTAACTACTAATTATTTCTGAATGAAACAAAACTCTAATGATATGCTGTTCCAATAAATACAAATCCGACCTGTATAAAGCAAAGTAATAAGAAAAAAAACTAAAACTTAGTCTCTCGAAATTACAGCCAGGATAAGTCTTCCGGAATGTTCTTTGCCTTCTCAGCTGTTTTCCATTCAAGAATGCCTTTCTCTGTTGATTTCCTGTGTCAGGAACATTAGCTAAGAGTGCTGTAGTACCTTTATTTAGATGGTGCTTACTGAGAGCTTCAAGATTTCTGTGAGAGCCAGTGAGTTCCAATGGCAGTTCACTGTCACACAGATTTTCAAATGCCCTCTTCTTTTATACCCTTGATGACCTATTAATTTCTTACAATAAGATGGGTCCTAGATTGTCAAAACTATATTTGAATTTAATTGGATTTTCGTGTCTAAGGCCTGGTTTAAATTAATTGGCTAAATTCAAAATCCTGTTGTCTTGGTAAAATGCTGTTTTGCCGGCTAACAGTATAGCCGTTCTGATACAATGCTTCAATTTCAAGAACTCTCTGTGTATCTGCTGCTGCCTGTGGGCATTTTGTTTTAATCTCCAAGACCTAGAAAAGCACATCATCTTTTAAAGGGACCACACATTCTTCTCCCCCCCCCATCATTTTACAAATTCTAATGTCCTGCCTTCCAATCCACAACTACTATACCCAACGTCACAAGACCTCCCCACTTAAGAAAAAAATGAACCAGCATGATGAGAAGATGGCTTCATGATTTTTCTAAATCTTAACGTTATTACTAGATACATAGGTTATTAATCTAAAGTTACACATTTCATACTAATTCTATATACATATATAACATTGAACACTACTGTTTATATCTTATATACACATTTTCTATTTAACGCATCCACAATAACATTTTCATGACCTGCAACATGTACAATCTGTAAATTAAACACTTGTAACAGAAGACTCCAACAAAATAGTCTGGTGTTCTTATCTCTATAACTTTCCAAACATGTCAAAGGATTGTGATCAGTGTACACAACCGTCTCTGACACACTGTTTGCAACATAAACATTAAAATGTTGTAAGGCCAGTACCAAACTCAATAACTCTTTTTCAACAGTTGAATATTTTCTCTGGTGGATATTGAGTTTCTTTAAAAACTAACCGATTGGCCTTTCAATTCCACAATTACCCTCCTCGAGCAACACAACACCTGCATTGTTTGTGCCTGATAGTGACTTTAAAGGGTTTCAAGAAATTTTGGTGCGGCTAAAACTGGTGCGGTGGTTGACAATGCTGTTAAATTCTCAACTGCCTCCTGGAATTTCGTGTTCTTCTTCAACAAATCCGTCAGTGGTGCCACCACGTTACTAAAGTTTGGTACAAATTTCCTGTAGAATCCACTCAGTCTCAAATATCATAGCACCTTCTTCTTCAAGGATGGTCTTGGAAATTCCTCGATGACCTGCGTCTTCACGTTCCTTGGTGTCATCTGTCAGTGTCCGATGTTGTATCCTAAGAACATCACTTCCACCTTTACAAATTCTGTCTTTGCCAAATTTATGACCAACTTTGCCTTCCATAGTCTCTCAGCAGGCTCTGCCAAATGCATCACGTGATCATTCCATAAATGGCTAAAGATCACTAAGTCATCTATATAGATGGCACAACCAGTCAGTCCTGCCACAACTCTGTTTATAAAGTCTTTGAAATGTGGCTGGTGCATTCTTCATTCTAAATGGCATTACTTTAAATTGGTATAGCCCATTTGGGGTTCCAAAAGCAAAAACTTCTTTCACTCACTCCAACAAAACTACTTGCCAGTAATCATAAAGTGGCTTGTCCAACTTTTTCCACACAGTCCTGCAGCCTTGGAATTGGGTCTGAGTCTGATTTAGTCATGGCGTTAAACTTCCGATAATCTATGCAGAATCATTGAGTACCATCAGATTTGGGAACCAACACGATCAACGAACTCCACTCGCTTTGACTCAGCTTGATGATGTCTTCTTGGAACATCACTTCCACTACATTCTGTACCTATGTTGCTTTGAAAGCATTAAGCCTATAGGGTTGAGATAGCAAGAACAGCAGATGCTGGGGTCAGAAATAACACAGTGTGGAGCTGGAGGCGCACAGCAGGCCAGGCAGCATCAGAGGAGCAGGAAAGTTG